GGACAAATCAGCTTCTGGAGGTAATTATCTCTCTCTATTGACTTCAGAAAAAGTCTTGGCAACTGGTTTATACTAGATACCTAATGCTATGTGGCAAGCCAGGTGAACTGAATCTTCTAGTTCATTAAATGCAAATGAGGTGAAAAAATATAATACCACTACAGATGTCAGAGGAAAGGTGTTGAAAGAGGAGTTCTGCAGAGCAGCAGAGACATTTGGGGGAAAGACAAGAAATTAGAAAGCAAAGAAAGACAACCGGAGTTGAGCTGGCAGTTTGGCCTGGATGTCAACATAGATTAAAAAAAAATCAATTGAGAGCAAAGGAAATATATCAGTAGTACAGATTGAGAATGTATTTAGAACATAAAAATACAAGAGAATAAAAAAAATCAGCATTCCCCAAGTTCTTTCAAGTTCTTTCCAGTTCCGCCATTCCCTCATTCCAAAGTAATTTGTCACAAGGCAAAAAAATGGTTGAAGAAATTGAGAGTGATCTTTTCTGGTGCTTGTCTCACTGCAAGTCATACTGAAAATCAAAGACTGTATGTGATAGTTGCTATGCCAAAACTAACCAATTCAATACACTATACAAAGATGGAAAAGGAATTATGGACTTTTACGATCAAATTCACATGAGCTCTGATGATTCATAACTGTCCAGACAATAAAGTCACACTGATACAAGACAGCTTGTTTCTCAAAGATGAGGAGTCCTGCCAGAAGTCAATATTTAAACAGAAAGTGAAAAAAAAGTCCTTAGAATGTTTATCTAAATTGCTAGTGAATTAAACTATCAGAAATAAACATGAAAATAAAACACGATGATGATACATTGATTCATAACAGAGTTGCAAAAGAGCCAGGCTAGCTCATAAAAGATTGGGCAGTTGTTGCATGATATGGAAGTAATCTTAAGCAGAAGTATACTGCACTTTTAGCAGTACTTTTAGCGTCTTCTAGTATGAAAGATAAAGGTATCAAATGTAATCGTGTAACCGGTTAGTGTTAACTAATATACCCTCCTATTTGATGGTGAAATGATGGAGCAAACAGGAATCAAAATAAGCACGACGTTAGGATAAACATGCTATTCTTGCAATCAAAAAACCTTACCTTAAAAATTATTAAGAAGAAATACTGATCCCACTGAAGTCAGTAGCAATATTCTTAGAAACAAACTGGGTTAGGTTTTTTTACTTTTCCAATTTGTAGCTGTACTTCTTTTCAGGTAACACCTGAAATAGTATCAGCTGTATTCAAAACCTTAATGGCTGTTTTTTACTGTGAAGAGGAGAGTCCTTGGCAGAGACCTATATTATAGCTGTTTTGTAGTCTTTTATGGTGCTCTCATAAAAAAAAAAAAAAGCTTTAACAACTAAAGAGATACTACAACAGGTCCAAAAAGCAATGCTGACTATAAGATCAGGGAAGTAGTTGTTAATGGAGGAAGAAACTTTGTATCTGTGAGATATACTGGAAAGTGATTTGGTAAACCTCATATGGCCAAATTCTCCTAAAAATTATCATCAGGAGTCAAAGAAGATGATCCTTTATAGATGCATTACAAAAATTTAAGCTTATTTTAGACTTTCCTCCACTAAGAAAACAATCAGTATTCTAGAATTATGAAAAATTTGCTTTGAACGGCAAGGTAAATAAGGTAAATAGATTTTGTTATGGGTTATGTAATCTCCTCGACAATATTCATTAGTACTTAGTTGTAACTCAGTTTGATGACCTGTAGCTCTTCACAGTTTAATGTCTTACTCTCCCTGCACCCCTTCCAGAGACCTCTACTCTATAAGTGGATAGAGGGCTGGAGAAAGAGGCAAAATCAATTCTATATTTTGGAAACAAATATCATAATAATCATAATAGACCATCTCTATGGGATGAACTGTGACGTAATGATGGAACTGATGGATTTTGAGAGCTGGTGAATACTGGATTTAAGGGTGACTGCACATGATGGCAGATGCACTGAGACTTGATTCTTTTGTACACCCTTGCACTGGGACAACACGGCAAGCATGAAGTGCCCAAGATCTAAAAGAGAAAGTCTCTTTAGCACATGATTTAAGAGTAATTGGCAAGGTCAAGTCTGAAGACTATGGGGAATTTCAGACTTTCCTTAACCCTGTGAAAAGGAGAAACTAAAAATCAGTGACAACTACAATTTATTTAAACACACCAAAGTAGATCTCACTCACCAGCCCCATTTAAATTAGGGAAGAAGGAGCAGAACTGAAGTCTTTTTGGAGGTGTTCCAATTTATATACAGTGTTTTAATTATTGCATGTTCTCATTAGCATATGTTGTAAATGAAAGCAAATGTTGTAGATGGACTCCTATTTGTGTTGTGTGTGCCTGTATTTAAAAATTCAGATCCATATGTAAGGGAGGCTGGACACAGCCCAAGAAATGTACTTAAGTAGATCTTCCTGAAAAACAGTGCTAAGTATTATGCAGTAAGAAGGGATGCTCTTCCTGTTCTGTCTTCGAATGCTAATATAGGTAAACATAGGGTCATGCACTTATGTCAAAAAACGGAAACAAATGAAGAAACAAACCTAGTCATGCTCTGAAATACAACCATCCTCTGAATTATCCAGTGAATCTGGTGACTGATTTTTCTTGTTAGAGCTTGAGGCAGAGGAAATTCCTTACAGTGTGCTTTACAAAATGCTAACTGGGCCATTAATGATTAACAAATAAATACCATCTACAGACAGTTATCTTTCTTCTGAAGACACTCCCTCTCACTGTAAATCTGCCACATTACTTCTGATAGCAGTGTTGATAAATGAACTCACATAGAAATTTTAGAGATCAGTTTGAAATGAATGAAAATGCTCCCATTTAATCTAAGACCATTAGGTATACCTGTGACAACCTGGAACTTGAGACAGCTTATGGCTTGAAGTCCTTACGGTTCAAAGGCACAATTCAAAAGAGTCTCAAATAAAGTAATAAAATGTAATAAAAATATGCTGTCTAGTATTCTGGTATGACTTTTTTTTTTTTTTTCTCCCCCCACCCATTATGATCTACACTTAAAAAATGTTTGTTTTTCATGTATTATTTAATAATCTAGTATAATCTTTAATACTGTTCAGGGAAATGTTGTTAGACAAATAGGTTTTTGTTGTCTTTTTATCTTTCCGTTTTTTTTTTTTTTTTTTTTTTTTTTTTGCGAAAGCAAATGGAGTCTCTTTATGCCATTAACCAAAGTGACTTGTAAACAAAGAGGCAATTTAACAGCATCCCCGTGGCATTACATTCCAACTTAACCCTGTGAAGACTGAGCAATGTGAAAACTGAAATGATCAAGGAATTGTTACTTTACTGGGATTCTAGTAAATAATTTGGTATTTTTACAGATGTGAGATTATGCTTATTTGCAATTTACATTATTCAAGAATATAATTCCAAAGGCAAGGAGCCCTTACAACAGTCTTACTATCCAGTTTGTACCTCTGACTGATTTCTCTGCTTTACATAACATCCATTTAGTGGAAGTGAATGATGTGCATTGTCAGAATGGTAGTGTAAACCAGAGCTTGTCCAGGAAATGAAGTAAACTGTAACATCAAAGGAATTTGAGAGATTGGAATGGGTACTCTTGTAGAGTGTCTGGGTTATTTTTCTTCACAGTATTTTTTTCAAAATATATATTTATTTCCTATTAAATTGCCTGCCTCAGTGTTTGCCACTCTCACAGCTTGGTGTGTTAGTGACTTGCTCCTCCCTCCACCCCAAATACGTATCACAGGTTTTTGTTACATCATATAAAACAGAAGTACCACGTAATTCAGTCTGCTCTCTGTCAGAACATTCAGTATGAACAGAAAAATTATATATGGTAGTGAGGTAAGAAAAAAACAAAGGTTTGAGCTAAGCCTGAAGTCATCGTATTTCTTCTCTGCTTGCTTGGGCAAAGTTACTATAATTATTTGTTTTCTATAATAAGCATATTTTTGCCCTTTTCATCAGACACTAACGTATTAACAGTTACCACTCTTTTCAGCTTTACATATGCCAGAAGCTATAGTTGGTCATGTCAGTGTTTATGAAAAAATAATGTACAAAAACTTTATTCTTATCATCTATTTGTGCTTCATGTTATTGCAATAAAATTTTACATGAAATAAGGGACTTAAAACAGAAATGAAATAGCCAAATGTTATTTTTACCTACTAGTAGGTAGTAATCAGAATAATGGCTAATGCTCCAAATTGTTTGAGTCAGTTCTTTAAAGTAAACATAAATGTTATTGCTTCCTCTTTTTTTTTTCTCTCTCTCTCTCTCTTTTTTTTTTTTTTTTTTTTTTTTAACAGGAGCCAATATAAACTCACTCATTTGCTCTGTTCTTACTCTTACTCTGGTAACATGTATTAATAACTGCACTTTGGAAAGTAAGAACTTTCATATACATTCATTCATTCATTCAGTGAGTTGTCAATTAACAACAGTAACAAAGTAACAACAGGTACTTACAGCTTACCGATGGGGAAAAGTTCTACATGTAATTAACCCTACTCATTGTCCACTTATCTCTTTTATCATTTTTAAATACAAAACAGCCTTCCTCTATTGCTTGTTGGGTAGTTTTTAGCCTTCCTATCTTTCTTTCCTTAAATTCACAAAAGTTCAAGCCTCTCCCCTCTGTCCATAGAAGTGAGGAAGAACCCAGTGACTGAACAACTCTCCCATTGGCATCAACACAGCAAAAAAGCCTTGCTTTGGACAGCAGACACAACAGCTTTACTTGCTGATATCAAAGTACTAAAGTCCAGTTTCCTATCTTAAAAAAACAATATGCTTCAATGATAGTTGGTAATGTAGGGATTACTACCAGCTCTCAGGAGCCTTGACAGCCAGCACATTCCTAGTATTTTAACGAGGAATGCAATGTTCCACTCAACCATACAAACCATGTCACCACCCAGTTAAATACAATACATCTATTACCTATTAGAAGAAAAATTAATAACACTCACTCAATAAAGTAGACTTCCCCTTTTTCTGTATAAGCCATTTCCCAGTTATCAGGTAATGGGCCCAAGTCATCATTCTCCTCCGGTTTTGTCTGCTTTGTTACATCCATATCCTCCTTTGCTTCTTCAGGCTGAGTATATCCTGGTGCAGGGCAAGGTTGGGTAGAAGATACTTCACCTGAGACACCTGTACTCTTCTCTTCATGTTCACTTGATTCTACAAGAGAATAAGAATTACAGGTTTTGGCTATCTATGGCTTTGGCTAATGGTGGATGATTTACTGGATGCAAGTCTTCAAACAATATTTTATGAATTGTAAGTCTTGAAATAAAGAAAAAAAGTATGTTAGGTTATTACAATGACCCTGATGATGCGTTTATCTGGAACACAATGAAAGAAAATAAAGCAATAAAAACAAATGGAAACAAGAAATTAATAAAAAGTTAAGAAATAAGCCAAAGAGTTATAGCTTGTTCTATCCCAGAAGTCCTTTCAGATCAGGAGGCAGAAGGCAGCCTCATATCCAGCAATGTTACTGACTTGTGTTTCATAACTTTTCAAAATAGAGACTCACAAAACAAATACCCTGTTTTGTTATGGAAAAATATCATTTTCAATTAAAACAGTAAATGCATTCATTGCTTCAAATAAATCCATAGGTAAAGAAATCAATATGACATTCATTAACTCATAGTAGTCTATTAGACATATATGAACATATTTTGTGATTTCATTACCCATATAATCTGTGGGAAGCATAATTTTCCACAATTCCAAATGCTTCCTATACCCAGTGGGATTCTGTCTCGTGTCCCAGAACACATGCAGGAGGGAGCTTTCCTTTCCTAAGTCTGTTTTCAGGGTTTGATCTTTCATTCTTTATATATTTTACTTCCCATAAAGTCAGAAATCCAAAAAAGTGTCATCCAACTACCATTGCGAGTTCTCACAGTCCAGTCCATGTACTTTTAGCTATGTGAGAGTGGTAGAACTCAGCAATATTTGTTAAAATGTCTGCTTAACGTAAAAATAAGACAAAACAACAAAGGTACCTCAAAAATCTCAGCTAAGCAAGGAGACGATGTGCAATACTACGAGTCTGAATATGCCTTATCCACATTGTTGAACAATGTCTTTACTACTACTAGTTCAAATGAAGGATGCTTGAGAGAACTTGTCCTGCTAAATCCTTTGTCCTTGCAGGTGAATACACTTGGCTGGCTGGTCTACTAGGCATGTGCTTATAGACTGCACTTTATCATATGGCCTATCTAGGTACTATCTATTGAAAAAAAAATGGGTCAGGAATATGTTGGGAACCTATTGCCTCAATGGACAAGAGAAGATCACATCCTTAGTCCCCGCATGCTTGTTCTCTGCTACACTTTGATCTCACTGAAGTAGAGAGACCCCTATATTTGACCAATATGCAACTAAAATTCACAGTTTGAACATATTGACTGAATGATGGGATCCTATTCAACACCAGTTGAAATCTCTAGTGAAATTGTGTTGGATTTACCTGGTCTGGCTGCCAGGTGCCAAATGAGCTGCTCTCTCATTCCCCCTCCTCAGCAAGTCAGGGGGAAGAAAATACAATGAAATACTATGGAAGAATTCATGGGTCACGATGAAGGACAGGAATATTGCTCACCAACTACTCTCACAGGCAAAACAGACCCGACTTGGGAAAACTAAATTAATTTATTACAAATTAACAACAGATTAGGATAGTAAGAAACAAAAACAAAACTAAAAACACCTTCCCCAGACCCTCTCTCCTTAGCAGGCTCATCTTCACTTTCTACCTCCTTCCTACAAGTGATGCAGGGCAACAGGGAATGAGGGCTACAGTCAGTCCCTAACACATGGTTACTCACTGCACCTGCTCCAGTGTGGGGTCCCTCACGGGGGATGTTGTCTTTCCCAAACTGGTCCCCCACAGGCTGCAGCTACTGCAGCCAAAAACTTTTGAAATAGATCTCAGCAATGTAGTCTACCTTAATGTTGAAGATGGCAATTTTTAAAATAAACTAGTTTATGTATCCAGAACACAGAACTATGCAGACTTGTGTGGAACATGTAGCACATAGAAGACAACTTGTATGAAAAGATCTAATTCGTAATGCTTAAGACAGCAAGAAAAAAAAAAAAAAAAAACGGTCTACAAAAATGGAGATTTTAATAGACTCAGAGAATTAGAAAGTTTGACATCATGGCAATCATAAGGAAGGGGTTAAAGGACTTCAGGAGAACTGGTAAAGATTAAGTAAACAATACTAAAAGCACAAGCACAAATTGTCCTAACAAAAAAAGAAAAATATTAAGTATAATCAGAGATCATTTTGATTAAGCCCTAATTTTTCAATGGTCTGGTACTTGATAAATGGTTGTACAATATGTAAAAAGTTGATTAAATTGTTAAGCATGAACACAGAAAAATAATACAGGCATATAACAGCAAAGTAGAACAGCTAGTCCAGAAAATGGGATACAGTTAGGGGCATTAAAAGTAACAAGAAAACTTTCTATAAGTACATTAATAATAAGAAGACCAAAAACATATTAATTCCACTATGTGGGAAGGAAGGAAAGCTAATAATACATGACACATATAAAAACACAAAGCAGTTAGTGCTCATTTTGCCTCAGTCACTACTGCAAAAAGATTACCTATGATTAAATGACTAACATAATTAACGCCAGCAATAGGGCTAAAGAACTCAGATTAGAGTGGGCAGAGAACAGGTCAGGTACAATTTAGATGAAGCAGCCATTTTCAATTGGCAGAGACTGATGAAACGAAACCTAGGCTACTGCATGAACCAATGAAGCAGACTCATGGCTAGTAATGACTAAACCTTTGAGACTTTAAAAAGAAAAGAAAGTTAGGAAGGACAGACTGTCTTGGTTTCAACAAAGTACCTATGATTTAGGTATTTAGTTTTATATTCTTAATTTCTAAGCACCTACTGTCCTTCCAGAATAATTTCCTTAATTATGTTGTTTTGCAAAAAGAAGATCAATGAAACTGTAATTTCATGGCTATCTATTTTTAATTCCTAGAAGGATGTTGGAACCAGCAGTCAAATCACCAACATCAACAATATATATAAAAATATTTATTTGAAATGTGAATCTGTTTGTGGGAGGAAATGAATTTGCAAGAAACATAAATACAAGTTTTGCTTAGCTGTATCCCACAACAGAGCAATAGGATCCACAGGGAGCTGAAGTCAACTTCTCCTTATCTACCACTCCCAAATTTCCCTTCCTTTGGCTTTTCAAAGTATGTTACATCTGCCAGCTGCAAAATGCCACAATCATCAATAAAATTGCAAGATGAGGAGCAAATGTTTAGGCAGAAATTCCTAGCAAAAATACAATGTAGATATTGGGATGCATGAGGAATGTTTAAGCATTATCCTCAGTCAATAATAATACTATTTGAAAAGGAAAGCAAGCATCAAAATAGGTAGGAAATGTAAGCATATTCAATACAGGTCCTTCCACCTTCAGCTACAGTAGGGTTTCAGCAAAAGTACTATACCCAGTTTCAATAATTCTATGGCAAGGAAGGTGGGAACCAGTCCAGAGGGCAGCAACAAAGCAACAAAAATGATCAGAAATATGTAAAAAAAAGTGTTGTTTTTTTTGAGGGGAAAAGACTGATGGATAGGGAAAGCATTTTCAAATATGTAAAACAGAGATGATACTGAGGTCTCCACATCCCCTGAGAAAAGGATGATGTAACTGCTGATAAATTTGTTGGGTTTGGTTTTCATCTTCTCAAAGTAAAAAAGAGTCTTGTGTTTCAGGCATCTTTGACAGGTTTGTGAGATGTATTCTTGAGGCTACCCACAGTCTGGACCACATTTCTATCACAGGAATGCTGCTGTACAGATTAAATTGAGGACAAGATATGAGGCTACATGGCACATATGACCACAGTAGATCAAATAAATTTGGATCATAGTTGCATCACACACAATGCTAATGATGAGCCCATTGGTCTAATACTGCAAAGGCAAGTTGACATTGCTGTGTCTTAGGATTTTAGCATGATATCTGTAATAGGTGCTCTTTCTCAGGATCTTATTTTCTATAAGTTCAACGAGGTCATATTCTTGGCTTTTGATATCTATATTAACAAACCAACAGAAATAAAAAAGAAAACAAAACAAAAAAAAGGTGAAAATTAAACCTTGAGAATTAAAAGAAATATTTTGAGCTTGCCTTAGATAGATATTGCTATCCAAACATAGTGAAAAAGAGGAAACAGATGCTTATTTAACAACTTAAAAATATAATTATTTTAAAGCCGATCTCCTGACTTAGTAATTCCTGGAGCATTATTTTTTAATAGTGTGCTTTGGTAATAAAGGAGAAAGCATCCTGATGAATACAACAGAAGCAATTAAGGAAGAATTGCCTAATGCCATTTAGTTTTACACAATGGACATTTTAGTCACTGGTTATCTGGAATGCAGCACTACGTTGTAATTTAATCTTTTGCTACATGTGTCTATTCTTCACATATTCCAGGAAGGGTACATATTCACCTTGAAGTTGTTTGGTTGTTTGTTTATTTACCTTTTAATATATATTCATACAAATTGTCTGATCTGTTAAAAAAAAAAAAGTGCTTTAAATGTATAAATAAAGCTTGAAATACTATGGTAACATGCTACAAGCACAAATATTTATCTTCAGATAGCATCAGATATAAAAACAGATCCTAAAAATGTACTATAATATATGTCCAGAAATATTTTCTGTCACTGATAAAAAAAAAAACAATCGAGTTTCCATCAAGTGAAATAACCTACTGTCTTATTACAAAACAGATTACATGGCCTAATTTTCAAAAGGAATTTAGTACAGTATCTCAAAGGTGAGTGTCCTGTGAAGTGACAGAATAGGCTCCAGCAAAGCAGCAGCAAGTTATTGCATATGTGGAATACAGCAAACTTTGGGGAAAAGGCAACGTGTATGTTAAAAATAACTACATATCTTTGAATATTGTAAGTCCATCACTTAGTACTCTGACTCCAAATATCAGCAATTACAAATTTTATTGGTTGAGATGATTTATTCTCTCTACAGCTCTTACACAATATATTGACTGTATATTGAACCTCAAAGTGCATAAGTCCATAGGGCCTGATAAGATGCATGCAAAGGCCCTGAGGGAAATGGCAGATGAAGTTGCTAAGCTAGTATTCACCATATTTGAGAAATCATGGCAGACTGGAGAAGTTCCCACTGACTGGAAGAGGTGAAACATAAGCCTGCTTTTAAAAAGGGGAAGAAAGAAGACCTGGGGAACTACGGACCAGTCAGTCTCATCTCTGTGACTGGCAAGATCATGGAGCAGACCATCCTGGAAACTATCCTAAGGCACATGGAAAACAAGGACAACCAACATGGCTTCACTACTTGATCATGCCTGACAAATCTGGTGGCTTTCTGTGGCAGAATTACAGCATTGGTGGATAGGGGAAGAGCAACTGATGTCATTAACCTGGATTTGTGCAAAGCATTTGACACTGTCAGCCATGATATCCTTGTCTCTAAGCTGGACAGATGGGGATTTGATGGTGGATAAGAAATTAGCTAGATGATTGCACTCAAAGAATTGTGGTCAGCAGCTTGATGTCCAGGTGGAGACCAGTGATGAGTAGATTTCCTCAGGGGTCAGTATCGGTCTGCCCAGGAAGCCAGCCATATCCTGGTCTCCATCGACTGAAGTGTGGCCAGCAGGATGAGGGAAGTGATTGTCCCTTTCTGCTCTGCACTTGTGAGTCTCCACCTGGAGCCCTGCATTCAGTTCTGGAGCTCCCAACAAAAGAAGGACATGGAGCTGTTAGAGAGAGTACAGAGGAGGACCATGAGGATAATCAGAGAGGTGGAGCACCTCTCCTATCACTACACTTCCTGATAAAGAGTCCTTCTCTAGCTTTCCTCAAATATGTCAATGGATACCAACTTATTTTTAAAAAATCTTATGGCTCTTGGATTCTGTGTATTTTATGTTCTTGCCTCTGACTGCCTTTGTTGTGCAATAATAAAAGAGCAAGCTCAGACTGTTCCCCAGGACTGATGCACCTTGTGTGGTGATTGACGGCACTGGGACTCTAGCCTTTTGCTTCATTATCAACCTAAGGCATGGAATGATCATTTTGAAACTCGATGTCATATCTTATACCTCAATTAATTTGAGCCTGCCAGAACTTTCATTCTCTGGGTGCAATTTATCATTGCTCAAGTAATGTCAGAATAATAGACATACATAAACATTCTTTCAACATTAAAGTGGTTCTTGTGGAGTTTGAATGATAAACACTTAATCAGTCAGAAGTGTGAAGCAAATGTGACTGTGACCAACACAGTGTCAGATCATGATGCTGCTTGTGAAGGAGACTGACTTAATTCTCTGCAGACACAAATAGCAAAAACAGTGAAATCTGAATGTCTGACAAGCATGTTGCATTTTGACCAAAGTATCTTTTTACCACTTTTGTCAAGCCATCAGTTTTACAGAAACCTTTGATTTCATTGCAGTGTCCATCACGAAAGGTTTCTCAGGTGCAAGATGTCTCATCTAAACCAGTGAATGGCAGATACCCAAACTAGAACAGCCAGAAGTACAGTAATGCTGGGCAATTGTCTTAAGTGTGAGAAACCTAACGCTAACTCTAGACTTGGCCAGCTTAATTTATAAATTGTGTTTATCCAAGGCTGCTTCACAGATATTAGGATTTCTCATTTAAATTTAACCATCTAGGCTCCTGTCTAGCTGTCTGATGAATTAGGCATTCTAGTTCGCAGAGATGGTACCTTACAATGAGTATCTGAAACAGCTATATTCTCTTACTCTTCCAAAGTGCCTCTTGCACCTTCATATCAAGATAGCATGGACAAATAGCTCTAACAAAGTATAAGGTATATAGGAATATAATGGACTGTGCATTCCATCTCCCTGTAAATACTATTGTATGATGAGAGTGCTTGATTCAGGATGAAGGACTGAATGTGCTCCATCGTAAAATGGCCAAAAACCTCATCCTAAAGTGAGAAGGCTTTCTGTTGTGTTCTGGGCTGAGGACAAGTAACAGAAATCAGAAAGAAAAAACACTTTAGACAGCACAAGTTAACAAAAAGACAATTACATATTGTCTTGAAGATCCCCAGTCCCATATACAGGAGGGACTGTGTATGGTAAGGTCACATATACAGCTGTCCGAGGGAAATCTGATGGTCTGTGAAGCAAGGTTTTAATGAAAAAATGATTCCTGCTAATAAAGCTCAACAGAGGCACAGATCATCTCAAGAGACACTGAAAGGTGGTCTGAAAAATCAGTTCCAAAGCGTAAAGATCTCTGCAACTAAAGATGTTGTCTATTGGTCTGATAAAATCGGGTTTATTGTCTTTGGATTCATCATAGACCTGCTACTGCTTCAGCCTTGCAGTCCTAGGTGTTACAGCAGTCCTCTGCCTTGACAGCACTCTGATACCTCTGGCAGTTAATAAGATGTTAAATCGCTGAGCATCTGTAAAAAATGTATCAATGTTTCAAATGTCCTAATAGCCCTGTATTTAACATAAAAGTGATGCATTTCAAATAGAACACATTTTCTAAAAAAAATGGAAGTAACAAATATCATGCTATAGTTGCTTCTTTGGTAAGAACCATATTGCTCCCTCCACCAGGAATATATAAAAAAAAGCAAGCGAAACAACAAACAATTATTATTAATTTTATAATAATAATAATTACTATAATTATTATTAATAATAACAAAATGACACAAATTTAACACATTCTGATTTTCCTGTTTTTTTCAAAGATACAAACTATAAATGCACATACATTTTAGACTTTGTCAGCTGACAGAGAAAATGACTGCAGTAACAGGGTCCGTGGGAGCTACCCTCTCCAACAAAGGCAACGCAGCATGTATGTACAGAGCTGCTTTGCTACAATCCCTAAAGTCCTCAATCAGTGTAACTGAACAACAAAACCCTGCTTATGAAACCATGAGAGCCAACACAGGCACTGCTTGTTCTGCTGGCCACACCTACAGGAATTACTTTGTGGGGGGCGAGGAGGGGGAGGAAGAGGGGGCTGTCTTACTCTGATGCTCATGTATTTAATTTTTTAACACAGCCCATGCCAGTGGCTGTTTCTTGGGTGCTGCCTAGTCATTGTTGACACAGAATTTGCCTGGGAGATGCAAGTTGTGGGTGGACAATGCAAGGAGAAAAACAGATAAACATCTCTCCTTGATCCATTTTGAACTGAAGTATACTGCTCTGGAAATTGCTCCTGAGCAATGGTCGGTTATGTAGCACATTTCGAGTAACTGCAAAGAATGATTCTTCTAATGATTTTTGCAATACACATCAGATACCAAATCCTGCCTTTGCCTTTTTCACTGTGGAAGTATCCTGGCAACAGAGCCAGTGCTGATGTTTTATGCAAGGATTTCTGGGTTTCATCCTTTTCTGCTTAGCTGTGTAGGAAAAGCACTAAGTGCCAGAGCATTGCCGGCAGATGCAATCTTGTGCAGAAGGGATGAGCAAGGCTCAGACAGCATGTGACAGTGATGGCCAGGGAGTCACGCTTCAGCCCTTTAGTCAGCCAAGGGGGCAGAAGGAGATCCACTGCCCTTCCCTCCCCCCAAGTGCCCTGTCACTGCCTTGGCCATGAGGACGGGTTCTGCACTAGGGATTTGCCTTTAGATGTAATTTTAGGCAACTACAACAGAAAAGCAAGTGGCAAATACATCCATGGTGAGAAGATTTCCAATTCAATATGCTTTCTAATGCAACAGGAGAAAAAAACAGAACTATAGAAACTGCAGTATGAAAAATCCCTTTTTATAGGGCTTAGGAGATTAGGTAGTGCCTTTATTAGCCTGTACATTTATGAAACTCCTTATCTTCTTATCTGTGTGATTGTCACTACAGACTTCTACTTCAATCAATTGTTCCTGAATTTCTAAGTTCAGTAAAAAGAACTCAGAGTTATTTCTCAAAGAGATATAGGTGTCTGAATTCTTTGATTTCCTACTTGAAGAAAAAAAATCATTTCTTAAACTGTTATTTTACAGTAAAAAAATAAAGTACTGCAAAATTATGACTCTTATTAAAATATTGAGGGTTTGAGGGTGAAGCTGATTACTGCTTGGGAAAAGTTTGGACTATTGACTCATTTGATATCAGTCAATATCATCAGTATTTTCAGACCCCCCCCCCTTATTTATTTATTTATTTTTTTCCCTGAAGAATTATGATTCAAGCAGTAAAACAGCAGCTGTCTTTTAGGACAAGACATATGAAAACATTATCTGCTTCATGCAGGATCTGAAACACTGGTGAAAAGGGTACTTTCAGAGAGTATTGCCAATTAAGTTTCATTGTCACTGCCACAAATTCAGTTATGTGATGACAGCTTTACTCTAACATAGCATTTGTAAGATTTCATAATGGTATATAAAGTTCACTTTCTAATCTAGTGAACTCTCTTGTGAGTATCACCTTTTTAGCACAAGGAGACCTGAAATACAGAGACAGGATTCATTTGATCAAACTGCAGTTTTCTAGACTCCTTTCTGTGGTCAGTGAAAAGAAATAGGCACTTTGGTTTGATTTCCTAACCCAGAAATCTGAAATAGATCACAGGAAGTGCATTCAGAAAGTAGATATGTTTCTCTTCAGGCTATAACAAGGGTTCAGGGTGACTAGCTCAGAGGCAGACACCTTTACTGTAGCTGTGGTGACTCATACCGAATGGAGGTCAAATGATTTGTTTTATGTTTGACAGGAGCCTTATCACTTAGGATTCCTGGCTGCCAGTCGTGCAAGAGCATCCTTACCTGAATACACTCATTCTCACTGCTGAAGGAGGTAAACTGTTGTCTCTGTGAATAACAGAAATACATTGCAAAGTAAGAAGGAAGAACAGACCTGGTGTTACTGTCACATCATTTCCATTGACCACAGGTCTTTCTTCCTCTTCTTCCTCCGGTGGTTCAATACCTGTCTTCTCCATATTGCTCACAGACTTATTCCTTTTACGTTTACCTTCGGCCCCAGGAGTGGCACCTGGAAGGATCTGATCTGTTACATTTAACAGTAATGGAGCTGGTTCTGCTGGAGGTTTTGGAGTGCCGTAATAGTTGTCTGAAAAGAAAAGAATAATACATAAATTCACTGAAGTTCATCTAATGCTTCTTTTTCTCTTGGTTTAGATTAATGGGATTTTGTGATATAGGATCCGGTTCATCAGCTAATATAAAAATGAGTTCAACTTTCTGTGAAGTTAAAAATTTACTGTGAAGTTATTATTTATTTATTTTTTTAAATGCCAATAGTAGTGAACATATTATGCTTAAAATATATACCATATTGACACTCAGAAAGTTTAACAGGGTAAATTATCATTCCTCTCACCCAAATACCCCCAAAATAGGTAGCATATTGGAGCTATTTTCTCATTTCAAACTGCTAGTTAGGACAAGTTATTTTTATAATGTTTATGCCAAATACAAGAGTTTCTGAAGGACCAAAAGAACCATAAATGTATTGACTGTTCACCATAATATACATTTTTCATACCCCCCATATTATCTTACCCAGTTGGAAAGCAAATAATTGTTCAATGGCAGACATTTGCAGTTTTCAGTAATGCATACACTATCGTATTTTTCATTTTTGTCAAATTTTTGCTCTTCATGAGCAAACCTCCAGATTTGTAATGGTTAATGCTAATATATTTTCAAAGAAAGATGAGATCTTACTTTTTAGAGCTTAAAACTTTCTGAGAACTAAGGAATTCTTAGAAGATTTAAGGTGGCTGACATATTATCCTCTATTTCTCTTATGAAATTTCTGGTAACTTCTTTCTGCCAGAATGATTATTATTTGGATGGACCATGGTCTGATCTTATCTATCAATATATTTATGCTTGAATTTCTAGCACATCTGGTCTCAAAACTGGTTTCTTATAGACACCTCATTTTTTTTTCTCTTTGAAAATATGGTTGAAAAACTAAATATTAGCATAATTAAATAAAAGAGTATTGAAAATACTTGTGAGTCCTTTGAAGAAGTAAGCATAAAGAATAATAAAAGACATAAATATGAATACATAGTGTTAATACAAAGCTGTATTTTGTCATCTGGAAATTGCATTGAAGGGCAGTGCATAATCTACTTAAAAGTAGATTTTCAGCAGTTAATATGAGAAATTCTGTCTAGCTCCAAGACACTTTTCCAAAGAAAAAAGAAAACATATTGAAGGTGTTTGTAGACCGTATGGTCATTTTTTTGTGCCTTTGCGTGGCTGTCTATGACCTGTCCTCCCACGGTCTTCAAGAGGTTCTTCAGGCTAAGGGGGCTAAAACAGGGGAGCAGGGTTTGGTGTTTAAATGGGGAGGGAAATCTACATTGATTAACTTGTAAAAATGTACCTCTAAAAAACGTCAAAATCAGATCTGGTCACAGTCAAAATTCTGAGCTCTGACAGTGAAATTAGTTTTGTATTTGAGGTATTGTAAGAGTACCTGAAAACTGATGGTCTTGACTGCACTGCTAAAATGGAAGTCTACTTTCATACTTCCTTAAGAGCAATGTTATCTTTGTTGGTGAGAGGCATATCTGTAATGCTACATATTTTGAAAAAAATGGAGGTTGTCAAATCTAAAAAATTCATCCCTGACCTAAACTATTTTACTAGTCTGAAAGTGAAATTGCATCAGTCCCACAGCTGTCACAAGCTTCACAAAACCTGTCCACTGATTTCGTAAATATCAGCACAAAAATCTAAAGGTTAAAGGTCTGATGTAATACAAACTGTGGAATTAAAATTGCAGTACCTTGCCTTTTTTCACTTATTCTTAGTTTCCCATTGTGATACAAAATCTAGATCAGTAGTAATTAGAAGTAATGCTAATATTCTGAATAGTAGATAAGAGGATTGACAATAAATGATGTTTTAAATGAAGGGCATGCTTGTTCTATTTTTGGTTATTTAACACTTTTTCATTTTAACTGACTGACAGTATGCATTAGTGGGAGACAGAGACAAAAGTCATGACAAAAAATTTCCATGAATATGACATATATCAAAATATAAGATACAACAATGTACATTTAAGAGTAGGAGCTAAAGAGCATTTAATTCTTTCAGTTTCAAACAGAAAATGCAATGTAATTTCCAAATTTTGCACTGTATCATAATGTCGTATGCTCTATGATCAAGCAACCATTGATTTAAAAGTGACTTTTGCTTTATTAGTTGATTTATCTATTTGTCTTAATTCAAATGTTTTCATAAGCAATGCAAATGAAAATAAGAAACTGGACCACATATATCAACATAATCGGTATATCAAAAAAAAAAATGATGAAAAGAATCTGTACAGTTCCAAAGGAAAATATACACAGAATGAGAGACCCAGGCAGTTCAATGAAAGAGTAGTTCATCCATTAAATAAAAATTAGAATTGATGTCAACTGTATTTTGTATCAAAAAGTGTTTCTTTGTGCCTTGAAATTCCTCATCTAAGCTTAGAGCTTAGCATTGGAGCTATGGACACCCCAACGTTGATGGTAACACGCTGGGCAAGTCATTGAAGACAGAATGTTATAATGAGGGGAGACACTCTCATACAGCTTCAGTAAATCTGGGAGTAATGCAGAGATTAAATTTTTAAATACTATAACTGTTGTTGCAATGATGTTTGGAAAATCTTTGATAAAAACCATTCTTTTTCATCTTGCTTGAGCAAAGGTTCAAAATGTTACTGTTGAATGTCTGATAATAAGGCATGGAAAATCAGCTTCCTGTACATGCAAAAAGCACACCAAATAAATAATTTAAATTGTGTTTATTTTTTATTTTTAAGAATTAATAAAAAATAAAGCTTACTGAAAGAAAACATAAACTTTGTGCTTATTACTAGTCAGAAAAAAAAACAACAAACAAACAAACAAACAAAAAAAAAACAACAGTTAGGAGCTTTAAGGAAAGGAACAGAGAACAAAACAAAAAAACACCTTTACAGAACTACACAAAACCACATAGTACCCTCCCTTCTGAATGTTGCCTGTTGTTCTTGTCCTTGCCTTTCAAAAATTACATGGGGGGAACTAAAGAGGGGCAATTAAAGCTTGGAACTGCTTAAATTGATTTGGAGTTTTCCGTTTGGAAAGGGGACAACTGAAGGGGGATATGGCAGATATATATAAAATCAGGAGAAACCTGGGAAAGTGCCTAGAAAACACATGCCTGGTTTCTCACTACATGAGAACAAAAGGATTCCCAACGAAATCAGCAGATTTAAAACAAGTAAAAGAAGTTTTTTGTTTTGTTTTGTTTTTGTTTGTTTTTGTTTGTTTTTTTTTTTTTCCTACACAGCATAAGAAAACATTGGCATTCGCTGACAGATGTTTCCAGTATCATAGATATGGCCAAGAAGCAACTATACAGACATAGAATCAGAAGAAAATAATAAAATAAAATAAATTAATTAATTAAAATAATAAATAAAATAAAATAAAATAAAATAAAATAAAATAAAATAAAATAAAATAAAATAAAATAAAATAAAATAAAATAAAATAAAATAAAATAAAATAAATAAAATGAAACTCTATTAAATATAAAGGTAGAAACTCTGAATCAGGAGTTCCATATCATATGGATCACTGGAGTGGGGGTGTATCTCTGCATGCCTTTCCTGTTCTTATATTATAGGCCTTAACATCTAAAGGGGCTGACAGGTATGGAGCTACAGTTTCCTTTGGTTTGACTCAGTACAGCTGCCCTCTTACTCAGGTGTCTCCTTGCTGTACTTAAATATGTGCACATATTCTCCTGCTACCACAGCAGAAAGTCATGAGGTCAAACTGAAGCCAGCAGAGCTTAAGCTAAGCTCTTTGCGCTGGACCTGACTAAAAGCCTTCATGCAGACAGGCAGTGCAGAATGAGTATTTAATTGCAGAAAAGCCACCACTGTTTAATCTATCTTGCTGCTGTGCCTGATTGTCTCAGTGCTCACAGCCTATTTCCAAGTGCAGCTGAACACTAAAGACGGTCTAACCTAACCGGTTTGACTTTTCTGCTGAAATGGCTTGGAAGCCATAGCACAGTTACAGTTACCAAGTACTGCTTGCTACCCCTAAGCTGTATGAAAAGATCTCCTTGATTCTGCAAAGAAGAAGTCAGGTAAAATTACTGGGGAGGTTAGCCCTGATGACAGAGATCAGATCAGAAAGTCAAGAGCAGCACAAAAAGGAGTAAATTAAGAGGTCAACACAACTATATTTTTTCTTAACCTGAGCACACCTATGTCAGGGAGTAGTAAAACTTTTGTTTTATTGAAAAAGTGTTTGATGATGGAGTAATGGGTTTGAACTTGTTTCCTGAGAAATGGTAAGTCCTTTTGGAAAGAAGAAATGCTTTGGGATGATAATACAGAAGCAGAAGAATCATCATGCTGATATGATACCAAGACTCAGTTCTAGTGATGTTCGCTATACTGCAACACCAAGTGGGACATTCCACTTTTCTTCCTCCTGCATGGTGTGTCCCTGGGGAAAGGAGGGGAAGGAGGTCTTTTTGCCAGGTCTGCATTTCTGTCCAGGTACTGGCCAGCCTGAGTCATCAGGCTTTGTAGGAATGGCAATATTACTAGGCGAGCTCTTGTCTCCTGAAGCTTCACTTGTCTCATTTAATAAATGAAAAATTTTAGTATAAAAACTAAGTGTGGTGAAAAGCTAAAGATGTTGCCAGGGAGCTAGGATATTATAGCAAGAATGAATGATCAGACAGAGAATGAGAGTTGTGGCAGATCAAAAAGCTTTTAATATGAATATTTCCAACTCTGGTGTGACTCAGATTCCTAGCCCAGAATGAGATACACATTTATTTTCACACTCATTTTAAGAGTGGGATGAAACAATACCCAGCTACAAATACACCCCAACTTCTGCTTATTCAGCATCTTCATTTAGATTGATATTTCTGTACTGTTTATACAACTTTCAGTTGCTGGAGTATCAGTCAAAATGGTGTGAGTCAGCCACAATAATATGAAAGACAAACCTTATTTTTCAGTTATTAGAACAGTAACTGCAAATGTGATGAACTCTCTTCATATTGCTTTTGTGGTCATTG